ATTAAAATAAGAATCTTATCTTTTGAAAACTTTCAAAAGCTATTTATTATAAAAATAGGAGTCAATCATAATTAGTTTTCACCATAAATTAAATTTGATCAAAACTTATTTTCTTAATTCTTATTAGATTTGTATAATTTTTCTTAGTCAATGGACTTATATGGTTGCTATGAATAACTAGTGGCCGATACGTATGACCTTAATGAATGAAATTATATATTGGCTATTATACAAATGGTTAATTCAATATAACTATGAATCGTAACGACGTAATTAACATAGGTTATATGACTACGACCTTTATCAATGGACTTATATGGTTGCTATGAGTAACTAGTGGCCGATACGTATGACCTTAATGAATGAAATTATATACTGGCTATTACATAAACGGCCAATATAACTATGAATCGCAACGATGTAATTAATGTAGGTTATATGACTACGACCATAGTCAATTGACTTATATGGTTGCTATGAATAGCTAGTGGGCGATACGTATGACCTTAATGAATGAAATTATATATTGGCTATTATATAAATGGTCAATTCAATATAACTATGAATCACAACGATGTAATTAACATAGGTTATATGACTACGACCTAAGTCAATGAACTTATATGGTTGCTATGAATAACTAGTGGCCGATACATATGACCTTAATAAATGAAATTATATATTGGCTATTATAAACGGCCAATATAACTATGAATTGCAACGATGTAATTAACATAGGTTATATGACTACAACTTTAGTCAATGAACTTTTTTTAAAGGGAAAAGGTACTTATATTAATAATAATAATAATAGTAGTAGAAAGTTAGGGTACGTGATCCATTGCATTGTCTTTAGTACCTACGCCTCGAGGCGCCAGAGATATGACTTCTAAGGCACTGTCATTGCCTAATGCAGCTAAGTTACTACACACAATCATAGAACACGATCTCACATACATATGGCCATCCTGATCCTTGCAATAGGCATCCATTACAAAGATAGGAGGTAAGACAAAATAACAAGGTTTATTATAACTAGGTGCCATTAGAGCTTCTTTTGCCAATTGGTGTGCTACCATGTTCCCCTCACGAAAGCTATGCTTCATTGTGATCTCCCCTTGCTGGTGTGCTACCATGTTCCCCTCACGAAAGCTATGCTTCATTGTGATCTACCATGTTTCTATTGGCTATTATAGAAACGACCAATATAACTATGAATCGCAACGATGTAATTAACATAATTTGCAAGAAACATTGAATGTAAAAAAATTCTTTTTTTATTCATGTCATAAATATCATGGCAATAGTTTGCTTAATAACTATAATTATTTGTTAATGATAAAATAATGCAGCCACAAAATTCGAAGAGACAATAAACTTCACTAGCTAGTTATAACTTTTTGTCATGCATTTACCATATCAATAGTATTATTTAACTACAATAAATAGTTAAATAATTATTATTCTTTGATTACCAAGGTCATTACAAGAGCTAGTCCAAAAATAAAATAGAGATATTTTAGGAATAATGAATTTTTTTTTGTGTGTGTGTATGTGGCCCTTAATTATTTTGAATAAGTACTTAAAATAATTTAATATATCTGAACACTTATACATTAAATAAGTACTCATATATTAAAGAATTTTATGACAGTTTTAGTGCAAGAAAAAACTAATATTAGTGGTTGATGACGTTTCCTAACTAATTATCCATGAAATAATGTTTAGATTTATGATTTCATCACTAAATAAAAAGAAAATATACTATTTTAAATGTGGATTTTTTTACAAAAAAGGAAAATTCGTCGCTAATATAGTGGCACTAACATTTAGCAATAAAATCTCGAAGCTAACAATATCTTATTATTCATCTTAATTTTTAATAACTATCTTTTTCTAATTATATCAAATATAAAAATATATTTTCTTTACACTAAGAATTAAGAAGTATTATAACTCTATTATAATACAGTACTTACTAAACGTATATCACTTCCAATTGAATAAGAGAACAATTTGAGTTATATCTACCATGTGTTAATAACTAATGATAAAGAATTTGAATAGAAGCTCATATCCATTACATTGTATATATAATCAAGACAATGCAAAAATCAAATTGATTTGATCATTTACTAATTTAATATTTTATTAATTCTTAGAAAACTCATTAATCAATTGAACTAATAATAGTTAAGAATTTAATATGTATGTATAGCAGACCAAATACCGTCTCTCTTGTGACTATTATTTTGTATTTGTATTAATTTAATATATTTGATACTACTAAGATTTATTTCAAAAATTATTAAGAATTTAATATGGTTGATATAAAAGTATACATCATAATCTGTATAAATAAACTATTACCTATAGGTTTTAATGCCATTTAAATAACTGTATAATTTATTTAATTCAATTTGAACGTATTTCCCACTCACCTTGTACTTCCGAGGCCGTGAAAACCTCACTTGGGGGTTGCCTCGAGTTGTGTGCGCAGTGCGGGCGCGTAACCGGAAAGTTTAAATGTGAATTTGTGAGAAAGATAATAAATTTGATGTTTTAAATTGATTAAGTTTGACTTTGGTCAACGTTTTGGGCAAACGGACCNGGTTGTCCCTCACCAATGAGGGACAAAGTGCAAGACAAAAGTTCACTTCTTCAAATTTTCAATTTCCCTCCATTTTATTTCCCTCCATTTCCAATTCACACTTCTTCTACTTTAAGGCCCAATGGCTTAAAGTCCAACAATATATATATATATATATATATATATATATATATATATATATATATTGTGTGTGTGTGTAAGTAAGTTTGGTCCTTTATTATTTTAAATAAGTATTTAGAAAAAATTCTTATTTCTAAGCTCTTAAATAAGTATTTGGAGTACCTTTTTTATATCTAAACTCTTAATTTCAGTACTCTTATATGTGGGGGAGGGGGTCCTGATTTATTTTGAATAAGTACTCAAAATATTTTCATATATCTAAACACTTATATTAAATAAATACTTATATATTAAAGAATTTTATGACAGTTTTAGCACAAAAAAAACTACTTTTAGTGGTTGATGACGTTTCCTAATTAATTATATATGAAATAATGTTTAGATTTATGATTTCATCACTAAATAAAAAGAAAATATACTAATTTAAATATGGATTTTTTTTTACAAAAAAAGTAATATTCATCGCTAATATAGTGGCGCTAACATTTAGCAATGAAATCTCGAAGCTAACAATATCTTATTATTCATTTTAATTTTTAATAACTATCTTTTTCTAATTATATCAAATATAAAAATATATTTTCTTTACACTAAGAATTAAGAAGTATTATAACTCTATAATAATACTTACTAAAAGTATATAACTTCCAATTAAAATTAAGCGAACAACTTGAGTTATATCTAACATGTGTTAATAACTAATGATAAAGAGTTTAAACAGAAGCTCATATCCATTACATTGTATATATAATCACGAGAATATAAAAAATTACATTGATTTGATCATTTAATAAATATTTATTAATTTTCATAAAACTCATTAATCAATTGCACTAATAATACTTGAGAATTTAATATGTATGTATAGTAGACCAAATACTGTCTCTCTTGTGACTATTATTTTGTATTTGTATTAATTTAATATTTTTTGATACGACTAAGATTTATTTCAAAAATTATTAAGAATTTAATATGGTTGATATAAAAGTATACATCATAATCTGTATAAATAAACTATTACCTATAGGTTTTAATGCCATTTAAATAACTGTATAATTTATTTAATTCAACTTGAATATCTATTTATATCACATTTAACTAACTATATTATTTATTTAATTAAATTTGAATATCTAATTATATGAATGTATTGGGTTTGTATGCTTGATATTTTTCATGTATTGGGAAGTCAAGCATTAAATGGGTGAGAGAGAATCACGAAGAGAAATTCAAACCTAACGGAAAGGGCATTTTCGGTATAAAATTTGTCCAAAAACCCTAATTGGGTGTTATTTTACTTTAATAACCCCATTTGGGTCATTATGGCAAAAAATGGTGTGGCCCAAAGAATTTTTCCATACTTCTTACTGCCACATTTAGCTTTAATTTCACTTTCCTATGACCAACTTTAAGAAGAAAAAGAGCTATTTAATTATAGCTAATTAATTAATATCTAAGACAAATGAACCTTTTTCTTTTCAAACACAGTTGCAAACCAAGTCTCAAAAATGATTATATTAACCAATTATAATAGATTATTAACTCTACAAGTCGACTTAATAGCTCATAAATATGCCCGTTAGATTGTCATGGCCAAATTCCATAAATATAACCATGCGCTTATCCAATGACAAATATATGTTAAAGGTAGCAATGCACCCATTGTCTTCAGACGTGACGGTATAATACTTATCCGCATCAGGTGTTTACATCAAACTAAGCAATTTAACTTCAATAGTCAAAATATAAAAGTGAAAAATGTATCATTTGACCGTGATTAAGTGATAAATATGTATATGCAAAACAAATGTCTTACATTTATTAGTCAGGTGTAAACACTCGAGTGTAAGTAAGTTTTTACCGTATCGGTAGGTGTCAACTGACCACCCTTCATCGAAAAATTACACTGTATATATGATAAAATATTAGGTTATAGAGGTGTATAACATATACTGAACCCCCTTTGTCGGGAATTTTGTTCACTTCATTTAAATTTGAATACCCTTATAGAAATTCCTGACATCGCCACTGTGTATCGGGCATTATCATGCACCCTTTTGCTATCATCAGGAGACATCACAAGAACTCATTCTCTACATAAAGAAAGATGAAATTTGTCAGAGGATGCTAAAGTTAAAAAGTTAAAAGGAAACCAGACATGAAGAAGATTAGCATAATAATTTGATTGTGTTAGAATACTTTAAGAGAAAGACGTGGTAGCCCACTAGAAAAGGAAGTAAAATAGACCAACTTTAGCACAAAAGAAGAGATCCTCATTTATGTGTCTTTCTCTGTTTATATATTTACATGGCTGTTCAGTTCACTCAAGTTAAAAGCAACTCTTTAACCTCTCCTTCCTAAACTTTCCTCAGTTCAACTCTTGGCAATATGCCAGTTAACTGTATAGCACCAAAGCCAGAAAATTCTGGCACAGAAGTGATGGCAGCTCCGACGAATTTGCCTGATTCGTCAGAGCTGCACGACATGTCCTGTCTGGCTTTCCCTGTCCAGATCAATTCACAGTCCTTTTCACAAAGAGCCTTATACCCTATAACTTTGAAGGTCTGTTTTTTTTTTCTCTATCTGTTCTCCCTTTAGTACATAAAGACTCGGGAGGGGAGTCTTGGAGCAACGGTAAAGTTGTCTCCACCTATTGGTCACGGGTTGAAGCTATAAAGCAGCCACTAATGCTTGCATTAGGGTAGGCTGTCTACATCACACTCCTAGGAGTGCGGCCCTTCCACTGATCCTGAGTAAATACCGGATGTTTTGTGCACCGAGTACATAAAGACTCACTTCTTACTTGCATGTATAGCATAAGCAAGTTTGGTTTTACATGTAACAAGTAATTTGAGTCAGTCATGTGCTCTGATCCAGCGGCGAAGCTACATGTATTGAATTTCACCCGAAAATTATACTCTATAAATAGAGAAAAAATGTGTTTTTGGTATATATTTAAGTTATTGAATCCTCTTGACCTAAGGGAAGTTTGTAGTGTAGTAGTAAAAGTAGTTTAAAATTTGCTTTATGTGTGACATTCTTGATTTTCTATAATTGCCTTACTAGAATTCCTGGTTTTGCAACAACAACAACCTACTGGAATTTCACAAGTGGGGTCTGGGAGGGTAGTGTTTACGCGGGCCTTACCCCTACCCTGGGAAGGTAGAGAGGCTATTTCCGATAGAATTCCTGGCTTTGCGCGAATCATTTTTTGTTCAACGGTTCAATCTATTCTTGCTGATGTCTTCATATTTTGATGTGCAGTTTGAAGAGATTCTTTACAAGATTAGGCAAGAAACACAAGGGATGTGTTTTGGAGGAACATCAAACACAAAAGAGAAGACTATACTAAATGGTGTGACAGGTATAGTTTGCCCTGGAGAAATGCTAGCAATGTTAGGTCCATCAGGTAGTGGCAAAACTACCCTTCTAACAGCACTAGGCGGCCGCCTTTCGGGTAAATTATCCGGGAAAATTACATACAACAGCCAGCCTTTCTCCGGTTCCATTAAGCGTAGAACCGGATTCGTGGCACAAGATGATGTCCTATATCCTCATTTAACTGTAATAGAAACACTTCTATTCACAGCTTTGCTTAGGCTGCCACAAAGCCTAAGCAAAGAGGCAAAAGTGAGACATGTAGAACATGTTATAACAGAACTTGGATTAAACAAGTGTAGAAACAGCATGATTGGAGGTCAACTATTTAGAGGTATATCGGGTGGAGAGAAAAAAAGAGTCAGTATAGGTCAAGAAATGTTAATCAACCCCAGTTTACTACTTTTAGATGAGCCGACTTCAGGGTTGGATTCGACCACAGCTTTGCGAATCCTAACCACAGTTAAGAGGCTAGCTAGTGGTGGTAGAACCGTGATCACAACGATCCATCAGCCGTCTAGCCGGCTTTACCATATGTTTGATAAGGTAGTGTTGCTCTCTGAGGGCTGTCCTATTTACTATGGTCCTGCATCAAGTGCCCTGGAATACTTCTCGTCAATTGGTTTTTCCATATCTATCACTGTCAATCCTGCTGATCTCTTGCTTGATCTCGCTAATGGTAATTAGAACATTTCAGTACAAGTTGAATTTCCACTACAAGTTATCCTTTCACAGTTGTTATAGCAATATGTATGAACGGTTAGAAACTGTTTTAATCCAAATAACATATGCATCTTAAAATGTAGCATTGAACTTACAGGAATTGGACCTGATTCCAAGCCTGCAATCGAGCAAGGCGACAATACTGAACAGGAAAAGAAGTTTGTGAGAGAAGCTCTCATCTCCGCGTATGAGAAGAACATTTCTACAAGGTTGAAATCTGAGCTATGCAGTTCAGATAACAGTAATTACAGTTACAAAAAGGATGTTTCTACTAGTAAGTTTCCAATTTACTCTGAAATCATATTTTGGTTTTATACTGTTCATCTACCCTTTGACTAGTGATTAATGAAACTCTCTTGTGTTCTACTAATGAAGGAAATGGTGTGAAATCAGAGCAATGGTGCACAAGTTGGAGCCATCAATTCAAAGTACTGCTTCTGAGGGGGCTAAGGGAGCGAAGATACGAGACGTTCAATAGGCTTAGGATCTTCCAAGTTATAAGTGTAGCATTTCTTGCAGGATTATTGTGGTGGCATACTCCTACATCCCACATTGAGGATCGAGTAAGAACTTATCTCTTCGCCTATCTCACGCATATAAGAAAATATACGTCCAACTTAAATGGAGCGACATGTACAGTGAGGATTCCTATAGCTGCCAACTTACTTGGGATTGAGTGTGATTGTCGTTATTGTACACTAGCTATCTCCGGTGAACAGAGCTGGCTCCTGTTTTCAGTCAATATGAGATATAATACCATTTATAACTTTTCTTCAATCTCAGTAATCAGGCCTTATTGCATTTGACATATCACAACAGATGATAGCCAGCTGCTATGTGCTAATAGTGACATTGATATTTGACTTCTTGTTTGCAGATTGCAATGTTATTCTTTTTCGCGGTATTTTGGGGCTTCTATCCACTCTACAATGCAGTTTTCACTTTTCCACAAGAAAGAAGAATGCTCATAAAAGAAAGATCATCAGGAATGTATCGCCTCTCGTCATATTTTCTAGCCAAAACAGTAGGAGATTTGCCTTTAGAACTTGCACTACCAACAGCATTTACCTTTATCCTATACTGGATGGGCGGTCTCAAAGCTGATCCTACAACCTTCGTCCTATCTCTTCTAGTCGTCCTATACAACGTTCTTGTATCACAAAGTCTCGGACTAGCTTTTGGTGCGTTACTCATGGATGTCAAACAAGCCACTACTTTAGCCTCAGTCACAACAATGGTCTTCCTCATTGCTGGTGGATACTACATTCAACAAATTCCCTCGTTCATCGTCTGGCTAAAGTATTTGAGTTATAGCTACTACAGCTACAAGCTGCTTTTAGGGGTTCAGTACAATGACAATGATTTCTATGAGTGTTCAAAAGGAGTTTATTGCCAAGTTGCGGATTTTCCTGCCATTAAATCAGTAGGACTAAACAATATGTGGATCGATGTCTCGATCATGGCTGTGATGTTGGTAGGCTACCGACTTGTTGCTTATCTAGCACTCACTCGTGTACGATGATGATTCGATGAAGATATGTGGAGAGGACATATTTTAGAAGTGAGGCTGAAAGAGCGAAATTTTCTGCGATAGGGAGTAAGAATGTTTAGTTTTAGATTTTTTAATAAACAACATATCCAGTGTATTCGAACAGTCTGGGAAGGGTAGTGTGTACACAGACTGTACCCCTACCTTGTGGAGATAGAGAGGCTGTTTCCGGAAGTTTTAGACTTTGTTGATCTCGTTGCAAGATTTTGATCATATAACACAAAAGTTTTGATGTACTACTACCACTCTGGCAATATTTTGCATATTATTAACTTGGGAAAATTTTGAATGCTTTGGAGACTAAATCTGTTACCACTTTGAATACATTGAAAGTGCATCATTTTAAGATAAAAAGAGAACAGGTTCAATTTCTACATTCTACTTAAGAGGTTGAATTTATTTTAGGGCCTATAGAAGATGTACAATCTTCTTTGAGGGAGAAATCTCTGACGACAAGCATAAGCATGGTTCAAAACTCAGTGGATAATATGAGCTTTATACTTTTCTCCACTAAATATGCCAATTTTTTGCCTTTGATAGAGTTCAACTCGTGACGTGCATCTAACCAGGGGCGGATTTAGGGGGCGGAATCGCCAAAAAATTACACAGTATATATAAGACAAAATCTGATGTTTTACCTTTATATATTAAGTTTTGAATCCCTTTAATATAGGCCAAAAGTATAGCTTAGTGGTCAAGGGCTTCAAAGTTTTCCTAAGATGGTAGTTTCAATTCCCACTAATTACAATTTTTTTAATTTTTTTTTTGAACTCTCTTCGTGGAGATCCTGCCTCCGTCACTACATCTAACACATTCCTTTAGTCCGTGGGCTGTGGCTGAACGACATAATACCACAAGAAATGATATCCAGAACTCATCAAATTTAAATTCTGAATCCTTGATAATATGAATCTATATACTGCTGGGAACTGAATTTACTCAGAGGGCAATGGGAATATTAGTGAAAAGTGATGAAAATCAAAAGCTTGTCATGCTAGATGGTAAGGATAATGGTCTTGATTAATATGGAAAACAGATGTTTCTTATTCTATCTTTATACCGTTTTTCAGAATTCTAATTCATTGAAATATCAACTTTGAATATGACTTTCATGTTTTCTTTATCATACATCTCTAACTATAAACTATCGCTAATGTACTAATACTCATATATTATTTTATGTGACAAGATTCATATCCCATTTTGTGCAAATTCATACATAGATTCTTCAATTTTATTTTTTGATAAAAAATTACATATATGAAAAGTACATAAAATTATTACTGTCATAATAATTGAAAATATAGTCAAAGAAAAATCTTTTAACCCCCTAAACAATGATAGTTATCACAAAAATATTGATGAGAAAGTATATAAACAAATTAACATCTTAACTTATCCAGTAGAATACCATCTTATTAAATTAAAATGACACAGAAGGAATAATACCTCAAATAACTTTATTAAGATCCTCAATTTAAAATTTAACCCTTCCGTTGGAAAAAGGAAGACAAACGGGAGAATTACACAAAAATACAGTCCACCTACATACATTGCAGCAGAATAACTCAGTTACAACTTTGCAAATCTGTAGTCCATTAACAATAGGCCAACGTTTGAAAAATAAGCATTTTTTCTTTCTTTTTTTATTCTGCAGATCTTCAAGGACGAAAATTCGGTGATTTTTTTATTCTTCATCCCCAAGTTTGTATATATTCCTACTCCAGCTACAAAAAAATTCAAATTCATATATAATGCAACTTGAAAACCTTAAGTTTTCTTCTTTTCCAAGTTCCAAATAGCATAAATAAAAAATAAAAAATGAAAAAATTATTGCACGTTCATGATTTTGCAAATAAATCAACAAGAAAAGTCGATTTATACATAGATTGAACATATAAATTTTAATTTTAGATTTAACTACACATGTGCATTACATGTATAATGATGTATAACCTTGTATAAACTTGTATATACAATTTCTAATAATGTATATAAAAAAAAAAGGCAAAGAAGAAGAAAAGAAGAAAGTGTCAAACATCCATGGATGCCTACTATACACGTACAATGTATATACACACTTGTACATTAAAAATATATCTAATTTATACAACATTGTACACATATATACATACTTATACATAGTTATACAATATTGTATAAGTTTGTATAAACACTACCTATACAAGTTTACACCAGAAAACACCTTCTGTCCATCACCACATTACAGTTTTCGGTGGTTGCTGGTGTTGAATTTTTCCGGCGAGGTTTTGACATTCAAATCTGGGCTTCACCAGTAGCAAAGGATGAAACAAAAACTAAGAGAAATAAGAAAATATGAGACGAGGTCGCCGGAGATGCTCTTTTAGGCAAGATCTGATAGTTTTAGGCCAGATCTGATAGTTTTTGGACTGATATGCCAAATTTTATTCTGGTTCCTTAACCTCTTTTTTGTCAATTAACTCAAAAATCGAAATCTAATTGACATAGCATGCGAGGATTATCATGAGTGTACAAAAAAATTCTGTAATTTTAGGGAGAAGGAAGAGAGAGGCGAGTGAAGAGAGATTGAGTACGCTGAGAAAGAAGAAAGAAGAAAAGAAAAAAAATCCTAGAAGTATGTCTTTAATAATGGGCTAAAGACTGAAAAGTTTTTTTCAAGATATATACAACCTGGGCCAAACCGAGTAAAGGCTTCAAACCTGGGCCATTTTTAGTTGGGTTGCTGTGCCAAGTGATTAAAAGCGTAATTCTTTCAAAACAAACTCAATCTGTAATTAACAAAAAAAAAAAAGGACAAAACATAAAAATGTTCGACCAAAGTTAATTGTATTTACTAGCCAAAATTTTTATAAGATATATAGTTACTCCTATTATTTTTGGAAGCAGCTAAAAATATATATGGAAAAAGGAAATTTTACCTCCTATAGCAAAGGTATATACCCTATTTATCATAAACCAAAATTATTTTAAAATATTATTTTCTATAGCTACTTTTTATATTTTATTACTATCATTGAGGCATGAAATACGCTATTTATGTTTTTCCTCTCTATTTCTTTCAACTAACACACGATTCTCTCTTAGAATTTTTCTTCTTTCTCTCTCTTCCTTCTATCTCTCTTCGAGCAACTCAAGATACACGCCCTAGTATTGATGGCCGACGAGACATTATAATAGAGTAGAAGCAGCCAGAAAACAGAAAAGAGTGAATTTTTCGAACGGAAAGGAGCAATATGATGAACTCTTATCATAAATTTGCTGTACGGATTCGACGAACTTTCTTCTCTTCTTGGCCGGAAAACGCCATCTCCGGCGAACTTTCTTCTCTTCTTTGCTATTTAGTCACATACAATGATACAAATACATTGTAAGTACAGATTCACTCAAACACATTGTACTTTTGTATAAATATATTATTTTACTTGTATTTATGTATTTCGAAAGTCTGTATTTTTTAAATACAGCTGAATACATATGTATTCATGCATATTGTACATAAAGTATGCATGAATACATGATATAAACAATGAAATACACTGAATACAAATACTAAAATAGAACAGAATATAAACAGTAAATACATTTAATTTTAAAATACAGTAAAATATACTGAATAGAAATAGAAATACAGTGAATACAACCAATGAAATATACTGAATACATCAGTAATAACATATATTAGGAATAACTAAAATAGTGTTAATACAAATACAATACATTGAATATAAAATAGCGAATATAATAAATACAAATATTGAATCTAATGAATGCAACAGTAAAAAAAAATTATTGAAACACACTAAATACAAAAGTTAAATACAACAGTTATATACAACTAAAAAGTCATTGTAATTAATTGGGTTGATAATGAGGCATGTTAGAATTGATTTTGTTGAGTTATATTAGGTGTTTATCACGCTAATTGATATTATTTTCGTTATTAAACAGCTGGACAGACCTATTTTTAAAGTGATTGTCGTTACTGTATTCATGAATACATGGCGTGCCATGATTTTAGGTTTTCTTTTATTGTTGTGTTCATGAATACAACGGCGCGGATATAACGAATACTCTACCATAACAACTAAATAGTAGCTATAGAAAGTAATTACATATATGGTAGCTATTTGCATCTATACCCGCTTTTTGGGTCACGTTTTAACTTGTACCCGCTTTGCAAAAAAAATTACAAGCGTACCCACTTTTTCGCGTAACTTCAGCATACGGGGCTAAAGTAGCAAAGGCAATAACGCAAAACTTCAGCATCAACGGGCCTGAAGTAGCAAGTGTGCTAAACCAAGTGTGCTGAAGTTTTTGTTTGTAATTGCTGAACTTAAGCATAGTAGCTGAAGTTTTGTTCTCTATTTGGTGAAGTTTTTGTTTGTAATTGTTGAACTTAAGTTTAGTAGCTGAAGTTTTGTTCTCTATTTGGTGAAGTTTTTGTTTGTGATTGCACTAAATAAGCTGAAGTTTTTTTGTCCTGGATTCATTAGTTTTGTCATTAAGTATTTTTAAAAACTTCAGCAGAAGATGCTGAAGTTATTTAGTTCATTTATAAAAACTTCAGCACTAAATAAGCGGAAGTTTTTTTGTCCTGGATAAGCTTTTTCAAAAACTTCAGCAGAAGATGCTGAAGTTATTTAGTACATTTGTAAAAACTTCAGCACTATATAAGCTGAAGTTTTTGAAAAAGCTTTCAACATACTAAATAAATAATCAGAGTATCTAATCATAAATTTTGAAAACAATAAACGTGAAAAGAACAGAATTATCATTGTCTACTAACTTACGTACGTGGAAATATTCACAAATTATTGTCTACTAACTTACGTAATTATTTATAATTTATTTTTAAATAATCTGATAAACATATTTATGGCAATCATCCCATGAACTGAAGTTTCATAGCAGCACCAACAGCAGCAGAAGAAAGAAGAAGAAGAAGAAGAAGAAGAAAACGAAGGAGGAGAAAGGGGGCTAAAGTTGTTTAAAAAGTGGGTACAAGTTAAATTTTTTTAAAAAAATAGGTACAAGTTAAATGGGGGCGACCAAATAGGACGCTCGATACAATTTTTACGAAGTAAATAGCTACTGAACAATAGTGATTTCTGAAATTTCCTTTTAACAAAAAACAAAGTCAGGAGCCCAGTGACACAGGCCCAAAGGCCCTCACAAGTAACAGCCCAACCGGTCAAATTTTTTTCAAAACACAGAAGAGGGAAGTATCCCGAAAACTACGGCTTTGCCATTAGTGCTGTATGGTGGGCCGGTCTGGGACCGGGACCGGA